GTATGTTCTATTATCGCCTGCTTCATGAGGAATGGTTGTGCTCAGATAATATGGATTTTGTATTAGTGAAATTAAGAGATATTTTGTATGCAATTCCTGATATTTTGATGTTTTTCTCCACCATCTGAATGCTGATATTTACAGACTCCAGTGTAACACCTGAAACTTATCCCAACCCCAGCTAGTCCTAGACTTTGCTGGTTTTAAGTGATGCCATCTTAGATTGCACAGGACCGTTCAGGTTGTGGTCGCAGCACTGAATAGTAGCAAAGAAAAGAAACAGCAAATTAACTGTCGCCAAAACATACAATAAAATATATTGTGACTGTCAATTGTACTTGAAAACGCCAACCGTGGTGAGCGAAACGTCGTCACCAAAAAGTAATTCAAGCATATATGGTTTCGCTTAGCGGCCAGACTATGATGGATTTCAGTTTCAGCACCTGCTATGAATGCATGCATGCAAGTACATAAATATCGAATAGCCATTACAAGACGTCGATCACAGTCGCATTACGTTGTACTAGGGGGTACGAGTAGTAAGTTTCAAGCCTCCGTATCTCTAAGACTACAAGTGTATAGGTTAACTCGAAAAAGATGCGTCCAATTGCCTAATAGATTGAGAGGATTTCTGTGTTACCGGCAGAATATGTATCAAGTAGTGAAAGAAAAGTCCTTAGAATGACAACCAGTCAGGATAAAGGCAAGTCGAGGAGTTTGTAAAAGAACGGAAGCCCGCATTTTGCGAAGGACCTGCTAAGGTTTGACAGGACCGTCACAAGCTCCATTAGGGGTCTCCAGCAGGACACTATTGTTTAAACTGAACCTACACGTGAGGGCTTAGCAAAAGGAGCTATGTGCTAGTTTGCAGAGGGAGCTAATTCGCCTTTTTCGATAATTTGTAACAATTTTAATTTGATATGTAATAGATGTGACATCAATAGTTTCCCCTATCTCGCTAGTTTATAGCTCTATTTTGCAGATCACATTCAATATGTAACTTTTTCGAAATATGTTTTTTATATTATACAAGTGTTTATTTTTATATAACATTAGTTATATTTTTTATTTTACATAAAACGAAATGTTCATTTGATTTTACGCATTTCCTGTTATTGGGTGCACATGTACCTGTTGGAAATAAATGTCTATATATCTATCTATCACTGAGAAGGCCTGGTGGTAACAGGAACTCTAGGTGGTATATACGGCTGGCAGTAGCATTCATGATTCTATGATGATCCTTGTCTTGAAGCTAATTGGTAAACTACAAAAAATTATGAGCCCAAAGGCACCTTTGCCACGTAACTGAAACTAATATATTTAAAAAATAACTCAAATACAAAAACAACAAACATAGGATAAACTGAATATGTTAGGTTTTCGTCTCAGCAACCATGACCCACTGCACACAACCTCGTTTCATGCTTTTTAGCAATTCTCAGTATGGTATGGGACTAGTGTGGAGACAAACGACCGGAAAGCAAACAAGCGCCCATGGTGTGCGACGTTTATCCTTTCAAAGAAGTGTAACCTATCAGTCGGTGTAAAGGCAGGGATATTACGTATCTTGAAAAGTGACATTATGTCTGTTTTTTTGACATTATATAGGTTTTTTACGTCATTATGTAGGTATCCACAAGTTGTCAACTCAAAACTAGCTGTTGTTCACTCGTTTTGCAGCTCTATGTGTTGCCTAAACATCATGATGCTTCAGCTATCAATGTTTGCCTCTGATGTGATGTGACATCTGCTTCAGGCATGGCATTATTGGATGTCTAAGCTAAGTTGTATAATATAAATGGAAGGAAATGGCAGTGCATACGTTCATAGTGAGGATTTGTTTGCTAATTATCTGTTGATAATAATTCCCTTAGTTTCTTGTCTCAAATACACTTACTTGAGATGTATGTTTCATCTTGGAAGTTACATATGAAGTTGCTGAATTTCAAAAATGTCAGAGATGAAAAAAGAAAATCCCTGCTTGGTGAAGTATATTACAATCAACGGTCGAGAAAATAGGCTACAGATAGGAATACTTATGAAACGTAAAAAGGTTAGTACATTTAACATTATTTTATGTTTCAAGTCATTAAAATGTCATAGGAATATAGTTTTCGGTGACAAATAGAAAATACAGATCAGCGCCTAGATGTGAGCCACTGCGAAAATGTTTTGTAAGTGATTCATTCCTAATTTTTTTGTTATCTGGCTGAATTACACACAACGCGAGAATAATAGTGATTTCTCGTAATGCTTCTCTAAGCTTTTGAAAACGCAAAAAATCGGAGAACATTGTAATTTATAACCTCGAAACTCTCTTTAGAAAGGACAACACAAATAGCCCGCCTTGTACAGCTAATAGATATACTTCACGGACAGCATATTCAGTAATAATTTTCTCACATTCTGAAACCAACAAAGCATGCTGGGAAACATTCCTCCATAGATGATGCTTTTGGGGACGCTCACAGCGCTCACAGCGAGCAAACGCGGAATGAACTATCTGCACACTAGGAACGGTCTAGTCGGCATCTTGACAATTTTGTCGATCTTTTTTGACATTATATAGGTTTTTTACGTAATAACCCTGCCGGACACATAAAAAATCCTGTACATTTTTATTGGATGTTCTGTGATATATCTACGTCTCGAAAATCCGTCATACTTCAGTGCCTATTGTGCCTATGACCATTACCAGTCTTGCAACATACTGAAACGCACTAGCATGTACTAAAATTCCAAGAATCCTTCTTCCAAGTATTCTCTCGATGTCAACGTCTCCTACAACTTGACGTGTCGAGAGCAATGAAACTCAAAACTGATTCATTGACCACATGTTTACCTTTCATGCAAATCTGGCCATTTGGCAGAAGCTTCCAGACTACTTTAAGTCCGTCCACACATAAAATACATAGTTCAAGTCCCCCGTATCCGAAGCAATAAACAGCATGGGAAATGGCCTATCAGACTGCTTTATGGACAGGTATTAGGTATAGCAAATGACGTCAATAAAAAAATCGTAAAACTGCTCTTACAGATCGAGAAGTGAATTACGTCTTCACCTGTCTAGCTTATTTTCATTTTGAGTGGTCGGTTTACGCTACAGAAGTAGATTTGAAAATGGGTATAAATTAGAAGTAGATCGTCATAAAGTTGGTGATGGATTGCTGCAGATACTGAGAGTCACTGCGTAGATTTGGGATTACTTGCGACTAGGAAAGTAGTATAAATGAACTCGACCTAACTAGCTAGATATTTCCTACTCATATAAATATATTTCCATACACAAACAAGTTCTGATGAAAGCTACAGCTGAACATATTTAAGAATGGTTCCATCCTAAGAGTCATAAAAAGGCGACAAGTAGGTTGACTGTCTTTCCTACGCAACGCACCAATTCCTTGAGGATTATGTTCGGTACACGTTAGTTCCTCTGCGAAAAATGTCAGCTTCGTATAACAAAAAATTAAATGTACTAATCATCCGCACGGCTATGATGTAAAAAACCTATGAAACGTCAAAAAAAAATACAAAATGTACCCTTGCAGACTATTTAGTTTTTAGCGTGCAAATAGTTCATTCCACGTTTGCTCGCTTGATTGTAGTGAGCGTCCATCTATGGAGGAATGACTCAACTACATGTTGTTGGTTGCAGAAAGCAAGTATATGTTTTGTGAAGCCGAGTAGTCTGGAGTGTTTATCTCTGAGATGTGACAGAAAGAAAGTTGGTTGAGTAGCAAGATCGGTTCTGGATCATTATGTGTATAAAATCAGCGATATTTGCTATGTTAGAAAATTATTACTGAACATGCTGCCCATGAAGTATATCTATTAGCTGTGCCAGACGGATTATTTATATGTTGTCCTTTCAGAAGACAGGTTACGTTCAAAGTTATAAATTACGATTTTCCTCGTTTTTTGTGGACCATTACGGAAAATCGTCATCGCACCGGCGTTGTAATTAAGCCACATCACAGAAAAATTAGGATTGACGCATCGCACTTCAAACATTGTTGTAGTGCCTCACATCTAGGAGCTGATTTTTATTTTCTATTGACATCGTAAAATAAATTTCTACAAAATTTCAATTACTGGAAATAAAAAATAATTTAATTACGTTTTCACTTTCATTAAAATTCGTGTTTTTCACCTGTTTCTTATCTCTCTCATTTTTGAAATTCAGTAAATTTGCCTATGTCATTTCCAGAATAAATAAGATGCGCAACTAATGTCTAGCTTTGAATCTCAAGTAAGTGTATTTGAGACAAGAAACCTATGCACTGCCATTTCCTTCTAGCTATAGTATAGATACAACTTACTACATCAGAGGCAAGCGTTTATAACTGAAGCATCATGATGTTTACGCAACATGTACAACTACAAAACGAGTTCACAACAAGTGTCCATCAGCTAGTGCTACGTTAAAATCTTGTATAAAGACCTACACAATGTCAAAAAAACAAGATACGTGCCAGCAACGTCGTTCTATGACTATCCATCCTTCAGACCGCGAGGGAAGTTTATCCAGAGACGCGTGCGTTGAAGATTTCTATACCATTCAAGTTCAATGTACGGGGAAATGTATGATGTGTGAAGTATAGGGTAAGGTTTCCTAATTTGGACCACTTTTCAAATATCTGTTGTATTACACATGTAAATAAATATTTCAAAATATTATCATAAAAATCATTTACTAAATACTGTTTATATTCCAAAAATTCACAAATAATAGATACATGGTAGTTCATAATATTTTATTTTTCAAATGAAAGAAATATAAACAAAAGTCCAATTTGGGATACCGGCATCCTTAATTGGACCATTAGCGCCCTAAATTGAACCGATGTTAAAAACCTATATTTAAAAATGAGGAACTGGTTAAAAAATATATATTAACATAACATAAACTAATATTCACCGGTTTGTAACGGATAAACTTAACCTAAATGTAAAAAATCTGTATGTATTGTCAAGTAATATTATGAATCTCAATAATTTTAAGTTTTACAATTTGAACAATAAAATATCTTAGTTCTTAGCGATACATTGGCACATTTTGCATGAAACCAAATTTTACATTTAAGACACTGGATCATTTCTTCGACTGATTCAGACTCGCATATTTCACAATACCAGCTGTCAGATTTAGCTACACCTAAATTTGCTACCTTTTTTTCACAACCAATTTTCGACAATTTTAAAGTATTTTTAACCGAATTTACTTTAGATGCCTCAGCTCTTGCTTCAAGTTCGTTTTTGTACGGAGAACTAGTCAATTCAACTGCGTCCTGGGTGCGGCAAACTTTTGATGATTTTGATTTCTTTATAGGTAATGGCGAAATATCCTGAACTGAAATATTTAGGGAAGTTGATGCTGCTCTCTTCGTTCGTAATACGACTTGCACCAATGGAATATTATCTTCTTCGGAAGAGGCTTCCTGTTGGGATTCATGGTTAGAGTTTGATGCTTTGTCAAACATCATTGAAGCTGCAAAATCAGTTTCTTTAAAAACATTTTCATCTATAGGCCAAATGCCACTAGCACGAAAAGCGTTCTGTGCATTTCTCACTGTTGCAGCAAGCCCATAAGCCTCTCCAATTATCCCGGAAACCTGAAACATTGATACAGTGCGACCCACGTTATTCTGCAACCATTTTTGAATGCATTGTCCATAAACATTTTGAAAGGCTCTGAAGAATCCAACATCCAACGGTTGAAGTCTGTGTGTGGTGTGACTGGGTAACTGCAATAATCTAATTCCATTATCCCTGGCAATCCGTAGAGCTTTTAGGTTTTTACTGTGGGTGCTGTGGCCGTCCAACAATAGCAAAACAGGGGCGTCAGGGCTTGGCTTAACTGTTTCAATGAAATGATTAAGCCATGTCACAAAAAGATCGCTATTGATATATCCAGTATCGCTAATAGTGACAATGCTGCCAGGCGGAGCACCTAATGAAAGTTCCTCTTGAAAACGTTTCCTCTTAAAAATTATCATGGGTGGTACAAACTGCCCTGCTGCACTTGCACAACAAACCACACTAGTATTTACCCCCCTCTCTCCACTAGAAATGCTCCCAATTTGATGTTTTCCCTTCTTGGCTAATATTTTCTGACATTGCCGTTGTACGGTTGAGCAACCTGTCTCATCGACGTTGAATATGCGTTTGGCGGTAAATTTATCCTCTTCACAGATCGTTTTTAAAAGCTCATAGAATTTATCAACTCATGCTTTGCTAAATCCTGCAGCCCTTGCCATTGATGTCTTCTCCGGCTGCCGTAACGATATTTCTTTATGTCTTGACATGAAGCCATAATACCACTTCTTACCTGCCATATGTTTATCTGGGTTGAAATTGTGTTTCAAATTGCATTATTTGCACGTTTGTTTTTCTCTTCGAGATGTCTTTTTAGTGTAGCTTTAGGTACTTTAAACAACCTTGCACATTCATTCAGCCCATAAGAACCATTACGAAAAGCGGAAATAGCACTGCTCAAATCTTCTGTGCTCCACTTGCCGTATTTACCACGTGATGACATTCTGGAAAAAAAATCTATCAAGAACTAAATGGGACTGGTTTAATTCACAATATACGGTTGCCTAAATTGGACCGGTCCAATTTACAAGTCAATTGCTGGTCCAATTTAGGAAACCTTGTTCTAAAACTAAACAATATCAAATTGCACCCACAACGGGTTTTACCAATTTGGAGGTTAGGTCACGAAAATAATCCCTAAACTATGGTCTCTTTAATGGATCTTGAGAAATAAAGATATTGTAAATGTTGTGATTACTTACTTGAACGGTAAGTAGTAGTATCTTTGTATCGAAAGTTAAATAATGTCGAAAACACACATTTTCTTAACCGTTGTTTACAGCTGCACACGTGTTGAAACTCTAGCAGTTTTCGGGATGTAGTTCTAGTTGGTATTAACGGATGGCACCACTTGTTGTCGGTTCGCTCAAATCTGCAAAGGTCCAATTAAGGAGCCGGTCCAATATAGGCAACCTTACCCTATCTAATAGGTGCGTAAAATTACTCTTCCACCATCTACAACCCCAATTGTTAACTCCTTCGAAAATGTTTATACAATATTCAGGAGTCTCTGGCACGTCAAAAAAGGAAGTTTGAGCGATTTTTGGTGATGTTTTAGTCGTCCTTGGTAGCAAACTTGTGATAAAACTTCCTTAGAATCCGAGCGATACTTACCCAGTTAGACGGGCCAAACATTATCGAACAGATAAACAGACCGATGGAAATAAGTGACACGATCTTTCGTGATGACATATAACATCCAAGAAACAAAATATTTTAGTTTAGATTTTTTCCGCGCATAGTATACTTCCTCGCCAGTATCGTGAGAAGTGAAAGCTATGAAAACATCATTTTGATGTACTCCCCAAGTACTATAGTACTGCATAGTTTCATTAAGGACAAACTATTCGCCTTTCACAGTGCTTCATTCTGATGTGATAGATGGTGCTTTGCGCTGACTCACTATTAGGTCAATTATAAAGCAGTTTCAAGCTATTGCAATTGCTTGCCTATACACCAAAAAGGAAACGCCTATATAGGTTTCACTTCATCTTCTCCCCATAAAAGCATCTCTCGAAAGCGGCTGATCCCCATCTGACCGCTTTAAAATATGGCAGTCCACCTGTCCGGTGGCAACCTAATCCAGGTCGGATCACGACTTCATAGAACTCCTTTGGGTCGGGAGTTTCTTACGTTGCCGGAGCAAAATCTCGTTTTGATAAAGCGGCCGTCATTAATCACCGGCCTCTTTCGTACGTGACGTGGAAGAACGTAACGCGTCGCAGATGCAACGCAGTCTGCCTACCTTGGTCATAGCGAAAGTATATTGACTGCAAATAGTAGGGCCACTCCACTGTTAAACCAGCCTTTTAATTTCCACGCCAACTGGCCAACTGGCAACCATGCCAATGACGAAAATGCTTTGTAGTTTTTGAAAATCGGTGGATAGAGCCAACAAACGAAAAAAATAGAAATCACCCAAACTTCAGAGACTCCTGATCACTTTGGAACAAATTATAGGGGTTACAAATTGGAGGTTGGAGAATGTAGAGGATGGGGGAGGGTGTATCTCAATTTTTTGGCGGTAATATATTCATACGCGTCCAATCCCTGTCATTGTATAGGAAGTGCAGCATATTTGGTGTACTGCAGGTAACTTGGTATACTGAGCTATCTTATTAAATGTAAGCGCTATCTGTATTTTTTTGCCGTGAATATAATGTAAGTCACACGAAGCTACAAGTACTAAAAACAGGGCGCCACCTTGACATGTCCTGCTACCAGCCACATGGGAAGGATACGTCTACTTTGAAAGCTTTTTCAGTAAGAATGCATTAATTGATAATGATTTACCATGATAAGTATAATCTTCATTGCAATTATTTGAACTGTTATGTACCCTTGTTAGTTTACAATTTTATTTTGATTTTGTGAATATATTTAGAATTAAAAGTGTGACATGGAATTTTAAGTTAGGATGTCATGTTGTTAATTTGGAATAGGTACAGTGCTTAATGTGCGAATTGTGGGTTCACGCTGCTTGTAATGGGTATAAATCCAGTGTGTATATCTGTGATTATTGTAAGAACAGTAACTAGGAACACTAAACACACTATAAGTTCAGGCTAAATACTGATTTGTGATTATTGTGACTGATTGCTTAATAATCAACAATTATAAGCTATTTTATTAAACAGATTAATTACCAAGGACTGTAAAACGGTTACAAAGTTCAGAAATTGATTAGCTTCTTAGAAAAGGTGTAAACAATTGTCAAGAAAAGGTGATTATAATTTGGAATACTATATTCCAAATTACCTGTATTCTAAGTAAATTTACGCTTGGAGTTTTTTATTTTGATAAATATGTTGATGGGGTTCTTGCGTTTTGTTTTATTTGATTGTTTATATCATTAAAACTTTATAATTTCTCAATAATCTAATGCATTTTTATTTTGCAATCCCGTTTGTCTAGCAATTTATTTACCAATAAATTAACCAGTATTCCAAATAAGCTGCAGTTCCTCTACATATAAATTGAATTGAATTATTACAATTTCCATGTTTAATTTAGGTGACCTATGTGTGTGTTTTGGTTAGTTTTAGGTTAGGTTATTATTTTATATGTATTCTACCACTGGCTAGTGCTGAGTGGAAGATCATGTCTAGGGTGAACTCCCCCTCGCGGTTTTTCCAATATTACTATGTCTTTCTCATGTGTATGTGATATACACGCATACAGTAAGAAAATAAAGAGCCCATTATTATCATTGTTATATATCATAGGTTTCCCCACATATTTGCCCATAAGTTTCAAATAGGCGCGTCGCGTTTCGGTCGCACTTATTTTTAGACGTTGTAGCAGACCGCAGGTCACGCACAACACATGGCCTACCGAGACGCTGATGAGTCGGGCCACGCGGAGGTTTTAGGGTTTAGTGGGTATTAGGTGATCTCCTCAAGGCCCTGGAGTCCCACACACGCCGTAGCTCGGGCTATGGTATGGTGCGTAAATGCATTCCCCCCCCACCAAAAAAAAAAAAAAAAAGGTCGCACTTGCCGTACTCTACGAATCTGTGTGTACAAAATCCTGTCTGCGCCTGTCGCCTAACCGGTCACTGCTACACTGCTAGTGCATAGCATGGCAGACATTGCCAGACACTCGATACTTCCGGCAGGACGGGGAAGAAATTTCTAGATTGCAGAGTTATGAAGTGGGTGGAGACTATGAACTAACTGCATGGGACTTACTTGATCCATTTTTTTATTATTACACATATTCGAACTTAGAAAAGCCGAATCAAATGACTTATTGGCAAAGCATCTGAAACAAGATGGGCACGTCTTGTTAATTAAGGTGTGTCTTTCATTTACGAGTAGACAGAGCTAGATTGGTTCTGAACGAGTCGTTCAAGGGGCCGATACCGCAGAGGGAACAGAAGGAATCGATTTCGATCATCTCGATTCAGATTCGACTGCGAATCAAATGATTTCGATTCCGGTTCCTAAATCTGGGTTGTATTTGATCAAACTGAAAGGAATGATACTACCACGATTCGAGTGTTGGCGCTACCCCAACACGGGTGTTTGCTCTAACGCTTTCAAGTTAGGGACCTTCAGCTAGTAACGATCTATTCGGTGATAATTACTGTGGTGTGCTTGGAGTATGGACGGTTTTTGAGTTTAGGTTAAATTGCCACTTTACTATTAAATTTACCATAGAAGATGAAGTCAAACGAGTAAAAATAATAATATAGATGGGTTTCACTTTGTACAACCTTAAAAATAGTATCAAACAAAGCTAAAGAATAGGAGATAAAATGTTTCGATACATATAAAAGCATTTCAGGAATCAAAACGGTCTTTAGCGCAAACAGTGGGAAGAAAAATGGTAAATGACTTCTAAATCATTGGAGTGATTGTGACCCCCATGACCGAGTGATAAGTCACAAAGATTGAAAATTGTATAGAAGCGTCAAAAGCCTCCAATCCGTACAGCGCATTCTGAGGAGTATCAGCTCAACACCTGTTCCAACCTATTTTATGCTACATTCGTCACGATCGTCCAACGGGAAAATATATCCACAGCCCTTAGGCATAAAATTAGTAGATTTCTCATGTGTGGTCTTAAGAAACAAAACCGATATCCGAATGCTATCAGAAAAAATCGTTATCAAACAGTTCGCTACAACCGGTGGATTGAGTGCTGATATCTGAACCATCGAGTTCGAGTTTAGGAATAATAATAATAATAATAATAATAATAATAATAATATTTATTCACTCAACGTACAAAGAGAACAAACAAAATGAGTAAATAAATATTGAGTCAAAACTGGCCCAATAGAATGCATTGCCTGTACATGGACCAATAATTTTAAGTTGCAACTGTAGAATGCAAATGACAAAAAAGGACAAATATTAGTCATAGTAGATTATGTATTTACTTGATGTTCGTATTT